CGCAATATTCTAGTTGCGAACGGATATTCGTAGGTCATTATAACTTTGTATACTATTGAAATTGTCAACTATATTCGTGACATTCTATGAAACTTGCAAACAGTTTCTCAGGGTCCGCGAAACATTCGTCAACTGTATATCTAAACTATACAAAGAGAATTATCTTACTTTTATACAAGGTACCGTACTTTACATATGAGTTATTTCCAAATTGAAATTACAAAAAAATTTTTTATCTTCAGGTAAACAAAATATGGCATGTAAAACAGGCATGGCATATAAAAGAGGCATGGACATTATGTCCATCATTATGGATGTGCAAAAATTGCACGCCGATTCTACTTGGATGAACGGCGATATCAATTATAATAATTTCTTTTATCCAAATATTTGTCACGTTTGCAAAAGTAAAAATTATGGTATTTTGATAGAATGCGATAAGTGTTACATGATTTCTTACTGTAGTGAAAAACATAAACAGAAACATTTTGAACAACACCAGCAATTTTGCACATTTATAACAAAATTCTTAAGAGAGAAAGACGGATTGGGTAAAACGGAATGGGGTATTCGTCATTCAGAAACGCCCGAATGGATTGAGTCAAGAAGAATATTTTTGGATGTAATCACGCAAAGGCTACCACGCAGTCTGGAGACGTACGAAATAGAAATGATCATTTTCGCAAAATCATGTCTTATTTGTCACCAACAAATTGATATACATCCCTGTAAAAGATGCTATTCCGCCAACTTTTGCCTTATTCATATGGAAGATTTTTTTATCAATCACGCATCAAAATGCGGAAACTTGATGTTATGTCTCAATCTAGATATCCTAAATATCATACCTACAGATTTTAAACGATTAATTGAATTTCCATGTGAGGTTAAATATTTCTATAACATGTATCAATTTGCTTCCAATTATGTGAGCTGTCCTTATATCGACTTGAACAATTTTGACCGAAATCTTACAAAATTCGCATATTTCTGTTCCGATTATGTATCAGGACCATTCACGATGTATGAGGTGATGAAAAATACACAGTTATTAAATCTTTCAAATATGGCGGAACCTCAAATTGTTATTCACGTAATATCAGCAAACTCTATTGAAAATAAATATATGAAGGCTTGGGAATTTCTCCAGCATGTTTTAGGTAAAATAAAGGAGCTAACAGTTGTACTGATAGGAGAAAAATTAAAAGCTCAAGATATAAGTTTGGAAAGTTGTGACAGCTGCAAGTCTCGAAATCAGAGGACTAGTATCGTATGTCGTCCTGGATCTTACCAAGAGTACACGACTGATTCGACATTTCAGCGACCAAATGTGATCATAATATTTCAAGCACATTTTGATACAACAAACACCTGGCAGGAAGATAGCTTATTAACACCGCAGCGTATGAACTGTCCATATATTCTAACAGCCGGATCGCAATCTATAGCGGAAGAGAACATAAGTAACATTCGAAAGATTATAAATATAGATCCTCTATATAATGCACCAAACAGTTTTAGGTCCCTTTATCCATGCAGACTGTTGCACACTGACTGTGTCGGTTTTCGTAATTCGCATGTAACTGTGTATCAGAATTTACATCCTTCATAAAAACCATTTTAAACGATATGAAGCTCTCTTATGTGATTCCCATATGACTTGTATTATTGTAAAAAATACAAACAATATATTGCCCTCATTACTTATGAACATTTTTATAAAATATAATCTATTTTTATGAATTATGCATATTTCTAATAAAGAACTTATTTAACTGCTTTCTCTTTCTTTTTTGTTGTTATTGTCCTATTGTTATTATAGTCTTTTAATCAAAATATGTTGATAGTGATAAACGAGTACATCAAATGTATGAAAGTATCCCAAAACAGCATGTTACTTTTGTACGTACACAAGCGCATACACACGTGTATATACAGGATGCCTCATTTTAAATTACGCATAGAAATTTTTCGAAAATCAAGAGTTTCATTGAAACATGTTGCAAACAAAATTAATAGGGTTTCAAGAGGATGCTTGATGGTGCTACTAATTTAATCCTGAATAACTCTGCTAAGATTACATAGAGTTACTAAAATACTACTACGATTTAGCCGGAATCCGGCACGATCGAGCGCTTCGTACATTCGCGTCAGATGACGCAGGTGCTCGGCCTCGTCGTTGCTCGCGATTAGGAGGTCATCCAGGTAGACGATCACATTCGCCCTTAAGAGGACGCTTGATGGTACTACTGATTTAATCCTGAATAACTCTGCTAAGATTACGTAGAGTTACTAAAATATTACTGTTTTAACTATTGAAAATTTATATTAAAACTATTTATAAAATTAACGAATAGGTTTTCTATAATTTTTCAATAGTGTTGTAATAAGTATACGATAGTATTCTAATATATTTCTATAGTGCTTCAATAATTTTTATATATTGCTCTAAGTAGTTTTTTCTTATAGCTTTTTTACGTAAGGGTGTATACGCTGAATGACGAAGAAATTCGATTAATAATGTTCTGTATTAGTAATGTAATCTGTGTATATTGATCTCAGAAAGCACAGAAAATTCAAAAGAAGTCAAAGTTACTAATGTACCATTTTCCGAATTTATTTTCAACATTAATATGTTATAATATATTATAACGTAATATATTAATATTACAAATAATGTATCCGTTATCGTAGGCGAAAAAAATATCAGACACAGAATTTTTGTCATGTACTAGTCTATTTTGAACCGCGAATATACTCATGATTGTGATCCAAACAAATCTACCTTTATACAAAGAAAATGAAAACATGCTCCAAGTTCACGCGTTTACCTTGCGAGTGGAATTGTACTAAAATTAATGTTTTTATAAAAAATATTTTATTTGTAAAACAACACAAGATTAACAAATATACTAATGACGAATATTGTTTAAAATACTATTTTCCACAAAAAAGTGATATCACATAGATAGGCTAGAAGTCCCTATAACATAGAATCTATTAATATTGATTATATAACATAGAATCGCTCGCCTAGTTTTGTATAAACAAGCACTGTATAGTGGCAGTGTATACATGTATATGTATATTTATGTAGTTTATGCTTATCGATAAAATGCGATAAAACTTTCTGGCTACAAACTGATAAAAATAAAATTAATATTATTATTAATATTCATATTAGCATTATTTCAAAACATAACTCTTTGATAACATAAAAGTAAATCTATTACATAATATATTATAACTATAATTAATGTTTCTATAAAAAACATTTTATTTGTAAAACAACATGAAAGAATATTAGTGAGGAATATTGTTGTTTAAAAGTCTATTTTCTACAAAACAAGTAATATCCAGGGTCGAATAGTAACTAGTTAAAAAGTTAAAAGTTAAGTTATGGCAGAATTTTTATGTAAAAAATTTTTTTCCATGGGTTACGGAGCCATGAGATTATGTAAGTTATGGGGTTATGTAAATAAGTTTATATGTTCAAATAGGTTATAGGGTTTAAAAGCTGAAGTTTAATAGATTTTTATTTGATTTTTCTAGTTATTAGCTTTTAATAGCTCAAATTATGGGTTTTTTGAGGTTATGTCAAAATCCTGATCTGATGGGGCTAAATAGGCCACGGATTTAGATTCAGCAATCCCAAAAACATATGGTAGATATAGTCAGACCCCCAGATCAAAACAAAAATTTTTTTTTGTGTGGCTGTGTTATGTATAATTTTATATAATTTTATATAATTATATATAAAAAATTTTTCATTGGGAATTACTCAGAGACATGACTTTAATAACAAATGTGAAAGTCCAGGTTATCAAAGATGTATAAGTTATATAAATAATTACTTATTTTTCTGAATTTAATAAAGAATTATGTTACAAATTAACAAAACGAGTACCTTTTTACTGACGCACGTTACGGTATCTACGGAGTTGGAAAGATTCAATCGAATACGAAAGTATCCAGCTTTGGATGTGCAAGAGCCTGTTACGAACACTTCGCCCTGTAGCTCGAGAAACGGCAAAAAATTTTATATTATTGAATTTCCAAATTTACTCTGAGTAATTCGATTATATTATTGATATATGTATAATTTAGAGTAATTCGATTATATTATTGATATGGATATTATAGTGCAATGGAAACAAAAATTCAATATTTGAAATTATACATTCAGAGTAATTTGGATATTTGAATCTTTTTTACATAGACTTTTATTGGCCCTTCTTTTAGTTATCTTTGAGAAAAAAAATTTAGTTACTTGCATTAAGAGAATAGATATTTAAGAAATAGAGTATTTATCCGGAATAAGTACTATAATAATATGTTTACTTATATCAAAATATAAAATATTTTTGAAATAAGAAAATATATATTTTCTTAAAACCTTAGTTTTTTTATAAAAGCAATAGTTTATTTTGTTTTAATAAAAGGATTTGGATTTAAGGAAACATATTATTAGTACCCAACGAATAAAAATTCATTTTTTTTACTTTTTAGACATTTTTCTCTCAGTGTAGATATTAGGATTAACTAAATTAATCTGAAATTATTAACTAAAATTTTAAGATTATACAGGGTGTCTGATAATTGTAACGCACCAACTCCATAGGGTCGTAGAGCTAAGTGAGAGGATCAGAAAAGTCCTCTTCCATTTAGCGATAACGTGTCTAGTTTGTTAGTAACAACCGCGTTTGTCATGCCAATTGCGGCCTATAGACGCTCCGCGACGAGCTGTGTGCGTCGAGGCTGAGCGGTAAAGCCCGTATCAGACTACCGACTACACAGGCCGACCCGACTGCCGACTACGACTGCCGACTCTCAATGGACCAATCACAGTGAGGCGCTGACTCGGCGCCTGTGCAGTCGGTAGTCTGATACGGGCTTAACGCGGCTCGCGCTGACGTCTCGACGCTTTGGATGCTTACGATATCGAGTGCAGAGCGAGTAAGAGGAAGTAGTATCTATTCCCATCTATAACTAATATATTTTATGGCTACTCTTGCTTTGCTCTATTCTCTTTTATCCACAGGGGAACAATATGACTGCGTCGGACGACACAATTGATGTAGCATACGTCTACGTCAATCCTTGTGCGTTGACTTCCGACACCGACTTACGTCTACGATACTGTCGGAAACGATTGCGACAATTTTTGTGCCCAGAGGGTCGGTCATGAATCTTTTCACCTAATGTAAACTCGTGAAAAATAAAAAATCTAACCTTGAAAATATGGAAATGTACACTTCACAAATTTATATTGGAGGAAAGGATTTACGATCGCATTCAAGTACTGCAAAACACTTCTCATAGTTTCATAATAAGGAAAAATATTAAATAATTGAAAAAATCCAGAGTTCTCATATGAAAAGATTCATGATTGATGCTTTGGCCCTTGATGTGCTTACGCAGTCATATTGTTCCTGTGGATAAAAGACAAAACAGAGCAGAGCAAGAGCAGCCATAAAATATATTAGTTGCAGATGGGAATATGTACTATTCTCTCGGATCCAGTTTTCACTCGCTCTACACTCGATATCGTAAGCAGCCTTTGACGCTGCCGGCGCGCGGCGAAGCGACGATGAACGCGCTACGTTACCGCTCAGAGTGCCATTACATGAAGCGCAGAAACGCGGAAACGCGGAAGACAAAATTTTACTAAATTTCCGCGTTCCGCGAATTAAATCATTTCTTCCCGTATATTGAAAAAGCGGAAGACCCAAAACTCTTCTCTATTGTCTTTTCATCCAAGGTACCAAGGTATGAATTCCAAAAAAATATCAGGTCCGAACGTGTTTGAACACGTCTTAATATAACGGCGGTTAGGTTGAACAACTTGTGACGTTGAACTTGTGATAACTTGTGACAACTTGTGACAATGGATTTTTCCGCGCTTGTTCCGCGACTTTATTTCTCCTTATATTACATGAAGCACAATTTGCGCGGAAAAGCGGAACGGTTTGGAGAACAAATAAACATCTGTATTTATTTTTTAAAATTGTATTAACTTAATTTACTGCAATTTTTACTAATATGTTTATCTTTTCAGCTTATCTGTTGAATATAAGCATTTTAATTAATAAATACCGTTAAAAATTAATATTTTATAATTCCCCATGCCGCTTTTCCGCTCAAAATATGCCTCATGTAATATAAGGCAATCAAAACAGACGCGAAACGCGTAGCGGATCTAGTAAGATTTTGTCTTCCGCGTTTCCGCGCTTCATGTAATGGCACCTTCAGCCTCGATGCACACAGCTCGCCGCGGAGCGTCTATAGGCCGCGATGGGCATGACAAACGCCAAACTTTATAAAGTTGTTACTAACAAACTAAACGCGTTATCGCTAAATGGAAGAGGACTTTTCTGATCCTCTCGCTTAGCTCTACGCCCCTATGGAGTTGGTGTGTTACAATTATCAGACATTCTATATAATAATCTTAAATTATTAATTTGTTGAGTAATTCGAAATTATGTATGCTGAGTGATTAACCTCAGTATACATAATCACCCTAATAGCACGCAATGTTCAGGGAACGTCCAGTGGATATCCATAGAACATAAAATGTTCTCTGAATGTTTTCTGGATGTTCTCTGGACGTCTTTTGAACATGCGTGCTATTAGGGCAGCTATTATGTATACTTGATAATTGAGCTTTTTCTTTACATCGCATTATAATATTCGTTCATAGGCTTTTATTGGCTATAGTTTGATTATTTTTAATTTCATTGATGTTCAAACTCACGGAGGACTTCTGATTGATCGCAGTCTCGCACGAAATTTCTTTTCCGGGTTTGCGCACGTGCAAATAATAATAATTCCCTGGCAGAATGCAGGCGATTACGACGGGTGCACGAAACACCGGATGTGTCAAGCTTGTTTTTCCTTTCTGCCACAGCTCAGAAGTTTCCTTGTCGTTCCGTTGAACGTCGACCACTCTTCGTAATATCTCGGCGAGCTACCGGTGAACGAAAGACCGGAGAGAAATGCAAATGTTTTGAACGAGAACAATCGCGAGGATTTTAATTCTTTGCGGTCCAAATTGCTTTCGACTTTTTTGTTTAACCGATCCCCATGAAAAGTTATTCACCATCGAGTGGTTTGTGCTTATTCCAATATATCAATACTTAACTAATGCAAAATATATATTTACAATAATATATAGGGCGTCCGGTAACTCACAAAGAAGTCGCGGAGTACAAGTAAATTAAATCAAACAAAACAAAAAATTCCTTTATTATTTGACGAACAACCATGTAAATTTGAAGTTATTAATCAAAGAAGATTCATGAATAATCACGCGCCATACGGTAGATGAACTGTAATGGCGATGTTTATCGCTGTATGCTTGGATAATAGGTCAAAATGAACAAAACAGTCCTCTGTCTAAGTCATTTTTCAAATTTATCTAACAAGGGGAACACGAGGTGATTGCTCCGGGAATTTTGATGCGCTTTTTACAGGCTGTTCTTGGGCGAAAAAAATCGACACGTGTCTGGCCGTTTCAGTCAATGGGCCATAGTTTCAAAGAAATCAATTTTTAAAAATAACTTTAGTCGGTTGTGACACACTTACTTTGTTCGGTCGTCATTACTGAACAGTAGCACAATAGGTAAGACGTTAGCTTCGTACACAGTATGTTGCGTGTTCAAATCTCATCTGATACACCTTTTTTTTTATTAAAAATTTGTTCTTATCTATAATTATTTATATTATTGTAGATTTACGAAAAAGATTATTTATTTAATTATATTGATATATTTTTTTTGTAAATAAAATTTAAAAATTTTTTAATAATTATTGTAATAATTTCAAAAATCTGAATAAAGAAATATTATTATCTTTATAAATTTCATTTTAATTTAATATAGATGCTTAGTTATTAATTAAAAAAAATTAGTGCATTATTGTGTACAACTATCTACCAATCTCCTTTAATTGATAACTAAACGTGTATGTAATCATTTGAAAAGTGATAGAAAACCTTTTTGTTCATTTTGACCTAATATATAAACATACAGCGGCAGATATCGCCCAGTTCCCGTATAGCACGTGATTATTTACGGATCTTTTCTTTGATTAATAACTTAGAATTTTATATGTTGCTCGCAAAATGATAAAGGAATTTTTCAGTTTGATTTAATCTACCTGTACACCGCGGCTCTTCTGTGAGTATCGGACACCTTGTATTTATGTTGAGTTTATTATTAATTACTTATGACGATTAATAATAAATAATTATTAATAATAATGATTAATTATTATAAAATTATTAATAATGATCAATATTATTATTAATAATCAAGTGTTTTTTCGTATCAATTAAAACAAGACGCGATGGGCACATTCGACGTAGAAGAGATCGCAAAGAATTAAAAGCGCGTTTTTAAAGTACAACTGTTTCACTAACTCTCTCGCCGACCTCCGCGCTACTGAAATAAATGTGTTGCGAGGACTCGGCGCGGAACTTTTTGGAGTATTTCGTCACGGTACCAGCGGCGAAAATAAACGGATCGTTCGTACGACACTCCGGGTCTATAATCAGCGAGTCGTTGAAAATGAGACCGGCACGGCAGAATGCTGAAAAGTGAGCTCCGTGTGAAACACACGAGTGTATCTTCACGAATCGGCTCATGAGCGACAACGAGTGCGAGCCGCTCACCTAAAAACGCGTCTAAGTTGATCGTCTTCTCGTGAAAGTTCAGAAGAACGTCGCAGACTATCGTTCTCATCTCGCCATCTTTTTCAATCGTGACACTTTTGATCGCAATCTGTTCATCTGCATCTTGCGTCAGAGTCCAATCGATCATGTACCATCCGGATAGTATTTGGACTCCGCTCCGTAAAATGGCATTCGTTATCGCCTGGTCCACCTTATAAACACGTAATTGTGTTTCTTTAGAATGATATTTATGATTGAGAAGCAGAGGAGTCCGTGCGCAGCAAGTTGGCCCAAAAGTCATGTCGACTATGCGTTTTATTTATGTATTGTAAAAAAAATAGTGGAAGGAAAATCGCAAAATGTTCTTTTTAGAATACAAGTACTTTTTATGTTTTTATGTTTCTTGTGTTATATTTTAAAGAAAATATTTTACCTTTTTCCTACACGAAGAAAAATATCGTAGTAAAGATTACAACAAAATTTTTATAATCTTGAATCATACACACAGTTATGATCAAAATTACTGTATATTAGTTTAAAAATATTATGAACGTTTCAATTCTTACAAAATTATTATAAATTACTTGACTCTTTTTTTGAGATTGTTAAATTTACTATTTTTATAACAATTTATATATACTATAGTACTTTATATATCATTATACTACAATATTACAGTAATACAATTTACAGAAATATAATTTTGATATAACAGAATAATATTTGATATTACAGAAATATAATTTTGATATAATTTTTAGTATAATATGTCCTTCATATACACTTAATGCATTGAGAAAATATCGCAGTAAAAATTACAAACCAAATTACAACCAACTTTTTGTAATTTTTGACCGTATAGAATTATGATCTAAATTACAGTATATATATTTAACAATGCACATTTAATTTTCATACAAGTTTAATTTTTTACTACAAGATTTTAATTACTTGAATGATTTTTATATCATGTTTTTTATATATTAGGTATAGACTATTTACTATTTCTAATATTTACTATTTCTATAGTAACTTATACGGTATAGTTTCATTGAAAATATTGTGAAAAAAAATATAATTTTAACATAGTTTTTATTATAATATTTTCTTTGTATACCGTTGCTTTCACAATAAATCCCTAAACGAAACACATAGACAACATGACCCTTGAGCCAACTTGACTTATAGATCGATTTTGTAACTTTTAACGACGGTATTGTTATCGTTATTATGTTATCGTTGTATAGATTTAATACATTGTAGAAAAGCTGCGCAACTATCCTAGTGACATCATCGTTATGAAGTTAAAAAATCTTCTCTATTCCGTATAAGAGGATGCTAAAGTGGATGAACTTAAAAAATGTTAATAATGTTAAGCCGATTATCACTAACACGATCATAATATACTTTTCGTATTTCTTATACATATAGATCTTATATACAGTCTGTCAAGTAAGAGCGTGGTCGGTCTTACTTACAGTTGGTAAAAGGTATCGCCCTAAATCTTTTGTGAGTCGATAGAGGGAACCTCTCTCTTTGATGCACTATTAAGAAAGATTTAATTGTCATTGATGTTTTGTAAAAGAAACACGTTGAACGTCATGAGTGCCAAAAAGCGTCGCGCTACGAAGCTGTGTTCTTTTGCACTCCCCCGAGTCCGAAAATGTCGCAATCAGCGGCTGCTAAATACATGAAAAAGTCGAAAACATTCGTACAGAAGTGAGTGCAGCGATATAAATGTTGATGATTTACCGGAACGTGGCTCAATAAGCAAAGTGCATAAGAAAAGCGAAAAACAAATAGTGAATATGTTTTCACAGAATTCTGGTTTAACACTGCGTCAAGGACAAACAAAATTGAAGCAGAAAGGTTTATATTTATCGCACGAAACTATCCGAACCTGTCTCCTAGCTCAGAACATGAAATGGCAACATAATAAAGAAACCTCTGTTGACTAAAAAAACATGTGAAGAAACGACTCGCTTGGGCGAGCGAGAACATTGATCGAGATTTTAGCAATGTAATTTTTACCGACGAATGCTCTGTATGGGCACGTTGTATCCTCACGCGAGCCTGGTCAACCCTTACCAACAGGCTTGTCTAGCGACCCGTTAAATACAAAGGTTCATCTTTGGAGCTTCTCAGAGCAGGAGTTCGGCACTTTGCACCTGTTTACCTACAACCTGAATACCGAGAAAATGGTGAGAATTTACAAAAAGGCTTTGTTATTGTCTGTCAAACGTTGATTCATCAACAAAAATGAGGACTGGATTCTGCAGGAGAACGACGATCCCAAATATCGCAACAAGCTCTATACCGAGTGGAAAAAGCAATCTAGCATCGTTACACTGGATTGGCCGTCGCAGTCGCCCGATGCTAATCCTATTGAAAATGTATGGGCATACATGAAGTACAAGCTTCGTGGAAAACACACGTACACTTTGCAGCAATTATCTCGCGAGATTCGTCGGATTTGTAGGTCCTTGCCACTAGAATATGCCGTCAATTTGGTTGAAATCATGCCTCAGAGATGCCAAGCATTTATCGACGCCGATGACTGAACGCATTATTAACAAAATTGTATCTTTCTTTTCATCGAGTACAATGCATATATGTATGTGAAAATTTTGTTTAATAATTTTTTTTATAAATTAACCCGACTACGCTCTTACTTGACAGACTGTAAATGCGTGTTGTTTTGATTCATCATGTTAGCAGAATATCTAACAATGCATATTTAGAAATCTTTCTGCAAATTTTTCTGCACATTTTCTAAGCTTCTCTAAATACAATTTTAAAAATACAGAAATGTTCCTTGAATTTTTCGTTAGCGGAACAAATGAAATCCAATACGTACAAGTTCTGCAGAACGTTTATATCAAGTAAATATTTATGCCGATTGCCCAAATTCAATTTTAAAATTTTGTGTTATTTTCATCACGTGTTGAACAATACTTCAATTCGTTATTACACGCACTTTCAGTAAAAGTATTTATAATTCTGTGCAATCAATATATATGATGTAAACTTTGCAAAAAAAATCAGTATTTCGTCGATAAAGTTTCTAGTATGGCAATCCTTTAATTGTAATTGTTATCGCGGTGCAAATTATTTTTTATCAATAACGACTTGGTAATGACTCTGAGAGAAAAAAGTTACAAATGGTTACAACTTTCATTATTTCACTCATCAAGTTTTAAAGACGTTGCTTGTTTGTTTTCTAAATTTCCTAAAAAAGAATTCAATTGGAAATATATATAGAATGACGAATAGATCACTCGAATTGGAGTGATTCCAATTCTAATCTATCTTTTGAATGGTCGAGTGAATATTTCCATTCGGAATTAAGAAGTGAATATTTGAAACAAATTCAGCTCTCTCTCTCGCTCTCTCTCTCTCTAATCGCTTTAAGACAATTTGTATGGATTAAGAATTAGTTTAAATTTGAGTGAAACATTTACTTTTTTCAAACAATAAATTAAGGACTATTAGAGTTAACGCACAGGTTGTATAGTGCTATTATAAACTATTAAAACATAGTGACACAATCTCGCAATGAGAACAAATTTTATTAAAAATCAACAGGTTAAGTTGCGATCAAACTGTTTGATCGCAACTTAACCTGTTGATTTTTAATAAAATTTGTTCTCATTGCGAGATTGTGTCACTATGTTTTAATAGTTTATGATAGCACTATACAACCTGTGCGTTAACTCTAATGGTCCTTAATTTATTGTTTGATATACTCAAGAAGAGTTTTTTAGTTATATTATTTACTTTTTTATGATGTTAAATGATAGTCATTATAGATTTGACAAAATTCTTACTCGTTTCCAGCGGGATTTTACTTTAAAAAGTTCAGAGAATATAATTCTCTTCGATGTGCACAAAGATACTGTGTACTGTATATATATCTACACAACACAAATGTTTAAAATAGCTTTTAGAGCTAAAAAACGTCTAAAGCAAGTAGAACGTTTTGTACACGTTAAATGTCTAAAAGACGTCTTATAGACGTCGTTTTAAGATGTCTTAAAGATATCTTCTAGATATTTATGCTGTTTAGGTCGTATACCTCTCGGTCACAGCAGAAAGCGTCGTCACACGTGTCATTGGAATTCAGGCTCGGCTTGATCAACGTGACCCACGAAGGATTCACGCCGAACATGATCAAACCATGAAGCGCACAGTAGCAGTCAGCATTGCGACCGTAAAACAATATCGCTCCTGTGATTTTGGTTACATTATTAAAAAGCATCGCCAAATAATCTGTTAATTGCATCGTTATCCGTGCTACACCCACTTCTCTCTTTAAGATCCTCCGTTAACCACTGAATCTTTTTTAAGCAAATAGACGCTTCCGTATCGTCGTTTATGGTTAGGCAATTCCATGGCAATTTCATCTGACTTTCCACAATTGCTTCTTCCCTTTGAAAGTAATTACAATTACGATATATAGAACGTTGTTTCATGAGAAGCAAGAACTTCTATTAATAGTTCTTATTTGAAATTTGTACGACGTGAAACAGACAGATCTAAGTTTCAAACTATACAGAGTTTTTCATTCAAGTCATATTTCATTTGAATTTTATTTAAATCATCTCTTATTAGTTTTTATTTTTATATTTTATTAATTTTTATTTATTAGCTTTTATTTTTATTTTTTATTTGAATCATTTATTCTCTTACTGAAATTCGTGACATTATATTTATAATCGCGATTTAACTAGAAAACTCACATCTAATTTTCAATTTAGATCTGAATATCTCACTTAAATTGAAATATTAATATTCGTTACTTTCAAGTAACAAATATTATTACTAAAGTTGCCGTTGTTGCTGTTATTACTCGATCGTTATTGTTCTTTCTTTACTTTATGACCCGATATCTTATTTCGCTTTGATATAATCCCCAATCTTTTTACTCGATAATACAATTATTTATTTTTAAACTTTACCCTCGCTTCCGCGTTTTCATTTCTTCTCGCAACGTTGGTCGTTGATACTGCAGGCCACAAGTTAATACTAAATAATCGTACGCGAGATTCCCTTGATTCATCACGGTCACGTATTTCTCCTTCCTGGCGTGAGAGAGTTCGATTATACACATCGTGCACGAAGATAAAACCCTAGCTCGTTTAATTAAATGAAATTTAAATGAAAACTCGATGATAAGAAAAGATATCTCTGTGACTGTAAACATTCATCTGAACATTTAGCAGTGTCGGACACTAATCGTTCAAAATTTTAGTTGACTGAAAAATAATTGACAAATCAATGATCAAAATCAATCAGTTATCGGTATATAACAAGAAATAATATTAATTGATTGAGAAAATTAATTATTAGTCAGTATATGATCTAAAAAATTAAACTTTGATATTCAATATGAACTCTTGAGACAATAAAGGTATTTAAGTTAAGACTCCTAAATATATAAAAAATAATGCGAAATAAAAAAATATTTCTGAAAAAAGTGGTAGGATTTCAAGGGAGAAGTATGATAGTGCTATTAGCTCTTGAGTTTGTGATGGACACGTCAAAGTCTTTTTAAGATCAGTTTAAATTATTTTAATGGAATCATACGATTTTTTTAACACAAGTCGATTTCTAGAATCATTCTGCGTATTACTGACATAAAACCATCGAAAAGTGAATACTTTTCGAGATTTTTATATTTTGTTCTAATATTTTTCAATACAAGATATGAAATACCTCATAAAATATTTACTTTCCAATAATCTTACCGTAATACTTTGGATCTAGACTGAATAAAATCGATTGTTGTAAGAAAAGGCAGGTACGTTAAATAAAATTTCATTGCATTTTGCAGATTCATTGAGCGTGCAAAGTTTAGTATGACTGATCAATTTCTCTCGCCATTACCTCGACAAGTTCCGCAATGCGCACCTTATACTCAATAAGAGAATTTGTTTTTTAGTAATTCTCAAGAAATATACAATATACTACTATTGGAATACGTTGCACTATTAATCAAAATAAAAGTACCGCAATCTCAATCAATCTCATCAATTATTTGACTGTACAACTAAATTTTCGTCTGGTCCCCAGAAAACTGAAAATTCAAAATAAAAAAGCAGTTTTGATGATATAAAATTACAAATAACTTAAATGATTAGAAATTTATAGCAATAAAAATTAAAACAAGCTTTTAGCTAACAACAACGTCTTTTCTTCTCAGTGTCATATAAATACAAATAAATGAACAAATATTTATTTGTATCTATTTGTATTTAAATGTGACACTGGGAAGAGTAAAATCACTATTGCTCCAAGATCAGGTTGCTTTGTCTCTTACACGGAGAAAAATAATTTGCTGGCCCAGCAAATTTTGTGCTGGTCTAGCAAAGTCTTTTCGTTATTATATGGACAGCAAAAAGACTTGCTAAGAGTATTACTCTCCTACCAAGTAGGAATCGTATACGTTTCTCCAGTACGGAAAAATGGCCCGATTGGGTCGATACCGAAAAGCGGATGTCCGGTTTTGATACTGGCTCAGTACTGGGTCTAATATAAAAAAACTGTATTATTGGTACTGGCTCCATACTAAGGTTAGATACTGGATAGTCGTACCGTATGTGTACTGGGGCGTTACCGAAAAGTGTTTGTCGTTTTCGGTTGTGATATTAACAATTGTACAAATAATAAAAATTACTAGGAATCGATACTGGCCCAGTATTGGGAATAGGTACTTCCCTAGTACTAGGAACAATATTTTTTTTATATTGGTATAGTACTGATTTTCGGTTCTGTGACAGTACTGTTTTCCGATACTGGCCTTTTTCTATCATCCCAGTATCACACTAATACTAAATCCGTATTGGCATCTGGTACTATGCCAGTAACATTTACCATAAATCGGTACTGGGCCATAAATCGGTTTGATGCCAGTAGTAAATTCTTACTTGGGTAATCACTATTTGCTAGATATAATTTGCTGAATCTACAAATTATTTTGCTATAAGAACCATGATAGATTTATATAAGTAGTTGCAGTTTTGCTCCGATAGCAAATAAATTTGCTAAGGATGCATTATTTTGTATCAATAGGAAATTAAAGTGATTCTTAGGACAAATACACTCAACAAATGTTTTCTATCCTGGCAACGAAACTACTTTTGCTCTGATAACGAATAATTTGTAAAATTAGTTACGTCAACTAAATTTTTTATGTCACTACGAATATACAGTAGCAACGACGATTTTGCTAAAAGAGCAAAATTATTTTTCTCCGTGTATTTTCCTGAATTTCTAATCACTTATCATTACGACAAGTCCAGTTTTTATATTTTGCAACGCAACCAACTGTCTTGAAAGATACAAAAACAAATAAATTAATTAATGATCCGGCATGCTGAACATATGATCACATTTTAAGAATAAGAAGTTACATTAACGGAGTTGCTTTCTCCGTATATATATCCAAGCGTATTGATTATCAGCGTTTCACGCGTGAAGAAAATAAAAATACCTGTCTAATGATAAATATATACGTATATATGTATCGGTTATCACAGTGACCGTTACCTGTTGATCGCTGTCATAGTCCCGTAAACAACATTAATCCAAGTTCTCAAGGCTACGCAACGGCGATATTCCGAGCAGAACGTGCCGCAGAATGGAAGCAATGAGATTTCCGTGCAACTTCGTTTGTTATCAAATGGCAGACCATGCGGCGATATCAACGTGAGGTTCGTGTAATGATACGATGATCTACGGAATTTCACGTTCACATCAGCCTTATCGATGGTTGAGGGAAAGACTTTCTTGCAGTCTCGGCCGTGTTACTGTGTTTATATAAGTTCGTCCACAGTGTATCCGCGTACTATGCTTTGTGAATTTACCGTAAAACGAGATACTCCGTGAAAGCGATACCGCAATCCGACGCCCCAACGACGATGATTCTCAGATGGATGGTCACGGGAGGTATCATCGACAGTCGCGGCGATGTCATGAATAGCGAAAACAAATCGTTGTCCGTTGTGTCATTCTCTGTCAGATTGGTTATCCCTGAGATATCTGGAAATCTGTATCCAGCTTGTCTACGAGGATTCACGGGAATCATGTCGTCCAGACAAGACGCCAAGGGACGCTTCCGTGTCTGCAAGTGATGCTCTGCATCAAAGGGAGTAAAACTCAACGCCTTCATTTCTGACAAGAAACGTCTCTCGCGGATCACGATTTTATCATCGCGTGGCTCACCAGGGCGCTCTCATCTTCGTGATGAAGTCGATAGAAGATTACCGTTAATCCACTCAGACGTGCAATCTCGCGGAAGAAGAAGCGATGATAAGCGAGGAAAATCGGCGTAAAAACGAAATGCAAGAGGCGTCCGTAATCATCTCGATGAATGCTTTGCACAGACACGTGATCTTCCACATGGTAACGGCTTCTAACGAAGTCGACTTGTTTTTCAGCACTGTATGCATGTGATCAGACAAAGTGATGAATACTGTTACCGACTTTCCAGCGAAATTTCATATTTTCACTGACAGATGCGCATATATATACAGGGTGCTTCAAAACTGCCGTACAGTACTTTAATAATATATTTTAAAGCTTACTTTTTGAATTTCTTGGAGTGAAATTTCACTCGAAAAATAGAGTGACCACTGAGTCATCCGATTTCGAGTGATGTTTTACTCATATAAAGTGAATTCTCCACTATTAGTCGTCAGGAGAATATTTTTACTCAAAATTGAAGAGTAAATCTAATATACGTCACAGAAATATATTCATTCCGACTTATTGAAACATTCGTTCATATGGAATTTTATCTAGTTTGAGTGAAACACTCACTTTTGCTATTTCACGTGGTCGTATTTTCATTATCGCTTCGAGAAATTTAAAAAAAATCTCTAAACAGTATAAAATAATTTTGATTTATTTTTAAGTTCTTTTCAGTCCTAAAGCAAAATATTTTAACATTTTTAAAAGTTTAAATTTTTTTACTTTAGGGATCACTAGGATAACAATATTTTTTTAGAATTTTTTATTTTTTATATTTTGCAGCGCAACCAATTGTCCAACTTGAAAGATACAAAAACAAATAAATTAATTAATGATCCGGCATGTTGAACATACGATTATATTTTAAGAATAAGAAGAGTCAAATTATAGATTATACTTGGAAGAAATATCTAGCCAACTAATTACTAGGAGTGAGGAGGTTATATACTTATAATCATAATCTAATATAGTTTCGTAATTTAATTTTCTCTATAATATTATTTATTTTATTATTTCATAATTTTTAATTATTTACTAAAAATTTGTCTTTAAAATAATAATTAATAAATTAATTAATTAATTTAATTTTCTCTATAATATTATTTATTTTATTATTTCATAATTTTTAATTATTTACTAAAAATTTGTCTTTAAAATTCATTAGACATTTATTTTTAAAGTCAGTTAAAAATAAAAATTTTGTCTTGTATTTCTAAATGTTCTCGAATTTTCAAGAAAATAATAAAATTACCCCATTTTTAGATCATTCATATAAATCCGGATAATGATACTAAAATCTAAGGGCAACATTCATAGTCAGATTTTTATATTTAAGATCGTCTTAAGTTCTTCAGATGCTCCATAGTCCATCATTCTCAATAAAACAATCAGTAATACAGCATTTAAAGATAAACTTAAGGCCATCCTAAATATAAGATCCGATTATGAATGTGACTACCAGCCTAAAAACCATGTAAATAACATACTGAATAAGTTACAAAATATTAGGTGAGTGCAGAAGTTTTGATGCGTTTCGTGATACAAATGTAGGCCAAGTAATTTATTAAAAACGATTTATTCATTTTACTAATTAATCCCTATTGTTTTCTATTATTTTCTGGCAGTAGTCGTATATCTTTATCATAAAATGTGGCCAGTTTTTCGTCTAGAAATGTAGTAGATCGTGAAAAGAAGCGAATTTTTTACCGTCCAATCTGTTTCATAACGACCGAGACAAATGATAATTTGATGGAGCAATATCAGAAGAATAAGGTGGACATAATTTAAATTGTGCAAACCATCTCTCGCAAGTTAGAATCGACACAACGATTCTTTCTAAACGCACCATATATGTTTTTTAGGATATTCAAACACTTGTTCCTCCTCAAAACTTGTACATTATAATTACACGCAAATAAACTCTATCAATATTTATTTTTAATTTTACTTCAAGACAGCACTAAACTGATACAAATCAAACCAATTTCTGTTTGTGACAGCTAAAAGTATGACCTTTTCAACGGTATATGATACGCCTGCATATTATTTATAAATGATGCTATAAAACTGAATGAGAACTTCGAGTTAACGGCGTACCACGGCCTCCGGAACTGAATCAACCATGACATCTTTAAGAAACACAAAAACTTTTGCACTCATCTAATATTTCATCTTAATATCTTAATATCTGTAACGATTCTCGAGTTAAAAGGGAGGATACAAGCGCAAAAAAACATACATATAGGACAAACTGTAAATATCCTCTTTTGCAGTCAGCTAAAAATACTGTTACTTTCCACTTGTTTTGAATGAGATTTTCCTCCAAGAAACTTGAAAAGTTTTTGGAACCAAAAATCCTATTGTAAAAATCTAGAGGCATCGGTACTCTCCGAATTATAGGCTGACGATGAAGACAAAAAGATGGTTTTTAACAAATTAAATTTTAGAAATATTGGATTTGACTTCCTGGTTGGAGCCGCGTTTTTTGTGAAATTATTTACAACATTGCAGAAACATTTTAATTCACTTCATCGGAGGGAGCACCCCGATACAAATAATTTTCAGAAACCCAAATGAATAACAAAGCTGCATATTTTAGCCGATTTTATCTGGAGAATACTTAAAGATAATTTTAACTGAAGGCTTAGTTATAAAATATGCAATATTAAAAACTGGAAAGTTGCAATAAACGATGATTATCCTCTCGATATTTTCGTATTAAGATTTTTAACTTCAATTAAGTTTCTCTATTCAAATATTATACATGGTGTTCCCAGGTTAAACGGTCAAACTTCATATATGAATTTAGGATCTCAAAACAAACAAAAACTTCCTCTGGAACGAAGCGTTTGTTTGCAAACGCTTCGTTCAAGAGATATCGACATTCTAAATTACAGAACTATACGAATGAATAATGTTGAAATAATATCGAAATAATTTATTATCTTTATTGTTTTACAATAATGACAATTTAAATATTATGTTAAATGTTTTATTCAAAATGATGGCCTCCAGCCCGGAGACAAGCATTGTATCTTGTATCGATGACAGAACGAATGGCTAATTGATATTGTGCTTCTGTAATTTCTTCGCACGCTTGCACAATTCTTCGTTGTAATGATTGAAGGTCATTACTTTACAACATAATAATTTATTACAACATTAATTAGAATACGTACGAGGCATGATTATAGTACGAGGGTACTAGTTTATCCCACGAAAACATTCAGTAAACTGACAATTATTTGATACGAAAGGAAAGAGCTTTGTTTACAGTGCAAACTATAGTTCTATAGTTCTATAGTATTAGGTGTACAACTTTGCTTCCGCCGTTTTTTTTCCGAAATTCGAGGCTTTATTGTAAAAAAACTGGTTATACATTTATGATTCAAAGTATTATCCATCGCTGGCCACTACTTTCTCCCATCTTTCGGGCAGCGTAGGAATCCTGCGTCGAAAAAACTGGTCATCTTTTGAGGCGATCCACGAATCGATCCAATTTTTTACTTTTTCATAAGACCGGAAGAGCTGGTCAGCCAGGTCGTGTGCCATTGATCGAAACAAATGATAGTCAGAGAGAGCAACGTCTGGAGAATACGGCGAGTGGGGTAGGACTTCCCATTTCAACGTTTCCAAGTATGTCTTGACCACTTTCGCAACATGGGGTCGAGCATTGTCATGCTGCAAAATCACTTTATCGTCTCTCGTTGTATCGCGGCCGTTTGTCTTTCAATGCTTGGCTCAAACGCATTAATTGCGTTCGATACCGATCGCCTGTGATTGTTTCAGTCGGTTTTAACATAATACTGTTGCGAGCGCGTCGCACCTGAAGTCCGCGGGTTGCGAGACGAGATCTTTGACAACGGTTGCTAAGAGTGTGTTTCGGCTGTTTGATTATAACAGCCGTGAGAGAGAGTCTCTCGACAGCTTGCAAACTGTCTGGATGTGCATTCCGAATCGAGAGTCTTATATCGCGCTGTTATTGCTTCATAATAAAGTTCCTTTTTCGTTTCGTATTCAAGTGTCTTATTCCTCTCCGAGTCCGCGAGTGTAACAATACACTACGCCGAGCTGGTCCCACCAAATACAGAGCATGACCTTGGAGCCGTGAATATTCGGTTTGGCCGTCGACGTGGAAGTATGGCCGGGAACTCCCCATGATTTTCTGCGCTTGGGGTTATCGTAATGAACCCATTTTTCGTCCCCAGTCACAATGCGATGCAGAAATCCCTTCCGTCTTTACCTTTCAAGCAGCTGTTCACAAACAAACAAACGCCGTTCAATATCTCTAGGCTTTAATTCATACGGCATCCAATTTCCTTGCTTCTGAATCATTCCTATGGCTTTGAGGCGTTTTGAAATGGCTTGTTGAGTCACTCCCAATGATCATGCCAATTCTTCTTGATTTTGATACGAGTCTTGATCAAGTAATGCCTCCAATTCTGCATCTTCGAAAACCTTCTCTCTTCCACCGCTATGC